GAACAGAGGTTTGGTTCTACCGGTAGCCTAATTAGTGAGTTGTTGGTTGCTTTGGGCTTTCAATAGTTATTGCGCTCCTGGGCTCCTGTTATCTTCATTTTCTGCGTATAGTTTCCTTGTGAAATATGTTGTAAATTTTGATGCAAATGCTCAAGTCTTTGGTTTTTTGTCTTTATGAGCCCCTTGTCAGGAATATTCCCATGGTCTTCTATAGATGTAATATTCCAAAAAATTGCTATTTCCTGTTGAAATTGAAACGCACTTGGTCATGAATTTTGTGGAGAAAAAAGAAGCACAAGACTTAAGAAATCCTCTTGAAATTTGAAATACCTGGAGTATGGGATTTATACGTAGAAAACAAGGCGAACATGCGCCAGGATTTCAGAATTTCTGTTTAGAATTTGCATCACATGTAGGGTCGTGGTATGGTGAATAGCAAGAACCTTGGATTTGAGAATTCTTGTGTCTAGATTAGAAGCAAAGTTTTTAGGTGGTTTTTCAAAGTCAACGTAGTAACGCTTTTTGTTTGGAAATAGAAAGCAAGAAGCTCAGGACTTGCGATTTCCTTTCAGGGCCAAGGAATTGAGAGTTTTCCTTAAAATGGAGACACGTTAGTACCTCTCAAAAACCGATGGAATGTTACAAGTATGTTTCATATTGAGGAAAGGAACAAGTGGATGTCTTGAGATGGCTTCGATTCTTGCTCAAAAAAGATTCAATTTCAGACTTTTTAAATGCTAAGACTGTGGAGAACGAGCATACCAAATATCAAATACCCTTCCCCTACATTGTAGCGAATGGGATTCCCTGTGAACATTTCTTTTATGAAAGAAGGAGTGCAATGGTTACATACAGCACTCTAGTGGGATGTATAACCCCACTGAATATGATAAGCCCTATATGGCTTCGTAGAGACAAAAGGTACGACATGTGGGGAGTGGGTACGGGTACTTATGTATGCTACGTGGAAGTTGCGTACACATGCACACACACATATATATATTTATATGCTCACACCCCCCTCCATGATCCACCGAAAAGGCGTGTTTAATGAAACATCGTATTTCAGTTTAAGTTATGTGCATATATGTAGCCACTTCGTTGAGTCAAGGGATCCTGGAATCCAGGATTCATGGTTGTCCATCTGATTGAAAGCAATCCGAATTGCAATTGGAATTAATTCAAACTAGTACTACAGAAATCCTGCCCTGAAAACCAACGTTTTCCTAGGAAAAAATTGATTTTTTGAAGAAATACAAACGTTTTCCTAGGAAAACCAAGAAATCCAACTTTTTCAGGAGCCACCATAGTTCCAAAAAAAGTTGGATTTTTGAATTTTTGGTTTTAATGCTTTTGGTGCTTTCTCTGTTGCGGTACTATTTGCTTATTTATTTAATTAGAAAGTTATATTAGCCATAATCCAGGTGGAAACCAGAAATCCAGGAGTCCAGAATTGTAATATTAAATGTATATAGATTGAACGAAGAAGTGTAATGGACCAGAATTAAAAATACAACTAGGAGACCAGAATCCAGTTCAAAACCAACAGTCAATGATCGTATTAATTTTACAGAAATTAAATAAGGAATTTGTATGGATAGAGTACAATTCAATCCGAAATTGGGGGGGTGTCCAAAATCCGATCATGCAAAAATGCTTGTTTTTATTGGTATTTACAGTGTTTTCAGGGGGTCGGTGGATCATTGGGGGGGGTGTCCATATATATATATATATATAGATATAGATATAGATAACGCTCAAAAGGAACTTTGATGAAAGCTTTCTGATAGTTGAGATGGGGC